ACAACAACAACCGCAACGGTCGGGGGGCGTTCGCCAAGAAGAAGAAGCAGGGCGCCCAACCACAGCCAGGTACCCCGGCGTCCTCGATCACTAACCCAACGGTAGTGGTGGCGCCTCCCTCAGTTGTGGCCATGGCCACCTGCTTCAACTGTGGGGTTGCCGGACACTGCCAGATGGATTGCACTCAACCCCCGACGTGCTTCCTCTGCAAGAAGACGGACCATCCCGCGGCGCTTTGCCCTGACCACCAGTCCATTGGTGCTCTTGGGTTGTTTCGCTATGCGCTGGATGACCTGGGCTTCTTCTAGATGGACCTCCCCAAAGCCCGGGCCAACCCGCCCATGACTGTTCTCATCTCGGTATTGGATGGCAAGACGGCGTCCCCGGCCTTCATTTTTGAGGAGCTTCGCTACCTGTTCAACCCGGGCTGGGATTGGGAGGTGACCCCGATCTCAGACCGGGAGTTCACCATGATCTTCCCCGACCCGGTTAATCTCCATTACGGCACCCACAACGCTAGGCTCATGCTGGCCCTGAACCAGCTCTTCGTCCGCATCTCGGTCCCGTCGGTGGACCCCCTCGCGGTGGCCACCCTGTCCACGATGTGGGTGCAGATCTGTGGGCTCCTGCCTAATGCCAAGGAGGAGGGAGTCATCCGTGGCATGTCTCGTCTGCTGGGCAAGTTTGTGGCTGTCGATGGTCCCTTCCTGGCCAAGGGCCCTGCCGTTCAGGTGCAGATCAAGTCACTTGACCCCTCCAAGCTCAAGATGATGATTCAGATGTTCTTTAACAACGTCGGTTACGATCACTGTATCTCGGTTGAGGGTGGGACTCCCACTGATCCCCTCAGCCTGGATGTTGAGGGCAGAGCCGACCCTGAGCCGGGCCCAGGAGGGGGCGCTGCTCCTCGGGGCAGCCCTCGTCGCTCCTGCAGTCGCTTGCCCCACTCTGAGGCTTCCGACGACGACTCGACGGACGCTGGTGATGCTTCACCCCAGCCGGCTCCTCCCACCCCTCGTCCACCCACTATTTGGGGCTCGGCTCCCGCAACGACTGCGTCGGGGAGGAGCCTGAGGACGTCAAGGCCATCGCAGCCTTGCTTGATGAGGCTGCTACCCTCCCACCTGGTGCTACCCTACCCCCTACCTTCCTCCCTGCTCCGTTGTCATCGTCTGATGAGGAGGGGTGCGGGGACAGCTGGGTGAGCCTGGATGTGGGTCTCTGGTGCACATCCGTGAGGACTCCTTGGCGCCTGCTCCCCTAGATCCCGGGCCCGCAGTGGCCCCCTCGCCCGCGTCTTCTTGGCCTCCCATGTCCAGGGGCCGCCCCCGTTCAGCCTCCACACCGGTCACGTTGGCCCGGAAGAGCGCTCGGCTCGAGGTGGCTTCCCAGCTGGAGGGGGCCTCGCCGACTGCAGTGGAGAAGGCCTCACAGCGGGCCACCACCTGCAACCTCGACGCAGGTCCGTCCGACTCCCAGGCTCCTTGTACTGATTCTGATGATATTTGTGACGATTCTTTCTCTGCACTCGCTGGTGTTTCACTTGGCCACCTAGCCAAGGTCGCGGCCAATTCAACTATAGTTTTTCGTGGCTAAAAGGGACCGGTCTTAGAGCAGCTTGCGTCCCTCTAGGCCAAGGAGGTTCTGGAGGGCCACCTCGCGGACACCCGTGCTCGTGAGGCGGCAACAGCCGCGGAGGTCCCACTACCCCCTGCCCGGTTGGTGGTCGGGGCCTCTTTGCGAACGAGCCAGACGAGATCCATGGTCGGACGCGATCCTGCAAGGCCCAGTTGCGTCGGGCTCTTAGTGCTACTACTACCATAGGGTCCAGGGAGGACCCATTAGGCGAGTGATCATGCACGCTCTATTTTGGAACCTGCGGGGCTTCGGCCATGATGGCCACCACAGGCAACTCATTGAGTACATGTGCAATGAGTCTGTAGATGTGGTAGTGATCCAGCAAACAATGTGCAGTGTGTTCTGTCTGGTAGAACTTGGGCGTCTTAGCAAACACCTGTTTGCGTGGCATTGGTTGCCATCTAGTGCAGTGGTGGGTTACTCCGGTGGCATCCTTCTAGGTGTGAAGGACACCACCTTTGAGGTGGGATCCATCGATCATGGATCCCACTTCGTCAGCATGGAGGTGTGGGAGCGTGAGATGAACTACAAGTGGGAGATCATCGTGGTCTATGGCCCAGCCGACCATAGCCGCTCGACCGCTTTCTTGCCGGAGCTCCACACCAAGATAGGCTCCGCTTCCCTCCCGGTGGTGGTGGTGGGGACTTCAACCTTGATACGTCTCCAACGTATCTATAATATTTGATTGTTCCATGCTATTGTATTACCTGTTTTGGATGTTTATGGGCTTTAATTTACACTTTTATATCATTTTTGGGACTAACCTACTAACCGGAGGCCCAGCCCGAATTGCTGTTTTTTTGCCTATTTCAGTATATCGAAAGAAAGGAATAGCAAACGGAGTCCAAACGGAATGAAACCTTTGGGAGCGATCTTTTTGGAACAAACGCAATTCAGGAGACTTGGAGTGGACGTCAAGAAGCAGCCGAGGCGGCCACGATGGTGGCCGGCGCGCCCAGTAAGGTTTGGCACGCCCCCCTGCCTCGTGGGCCCCTCGTGGCTCCCCTGACCGACTTCCTTCACCTATATATATCTACATACCCCGAAAACATCCAGGAGCACCACGAGAAATTATTTCCACCGCCGCAACCTTTTGTATCCGCCGGATTCCATCTTGGAGCCTTCGCCGGCGCTCCGCCAGAGGGGGAATCGACCATGGAGGGCCTCTCCATCACCACCAAGGCCTCTCCGATGAGTTGTGAGTAGTTTACCACAGACCTTTGGGTCCATAGTTATTAGCTAGATGGATTCTTCTCTCTCTTTGAATCTCAATACAAAGTTCTCCTTCCTCTTCTTTGAGATCTATTCGATGTAACTCTTTTTGCAGTGTGTTTGTCAAGATCCGATGAATTGTGGGTTTATGATCAAGTTTATCTATGAGAAATATTTGAATCTCCTCTGAATTCTTTTATTTATGATTGGTTATCTTTTGCAAGTCTCTTCGAATTATCAGTTTGGTTTGGCCTACTAGATTGATCTTTCTTGCCATGGGAGAAGTGCTTAGCTTTGGGTTCAATCTTGCGGTGCTTGATCCCAGTTACAGTAGGGGAAATGACACATATTGTATTGTTGCCATCGAGGATAAAAAGATGGGGTTTATATCATATTGCATGAGTTTATCCCTCTGCATCATGTCATCTTGCTTAATGTGTTACTCTGTTCTTATGAACTTAATGTCGTGGTTCTAAGTCTGACAGTAGAATGGGGGGTAGGTATGGAGAGGCAAGATCCTAGCTATGGAGCAGTTGTACACACGAGTGTTTTACGAGTTCAGGCCCTTCTAAGAGGAAGTAACAGCCCTACGTCTCGGAGCCCGGAGGCGGTCGACTGGATTGCGTGTGTGAAAGGTACAGGGGTGCGAACCCTTCTACCAGTGGAGGGGGGTGGCTTATATAGAGGACGCCAGGACCCCAGCCAGCCCATGTAGCATAGGGTTAAAGTACATTAAGGCCCAACGTTACTGGTAACGCCCTACATAAAGTGTCATCATAAGCATTAAGACTACTTAATTACAGACCGTTTGGATACAGAGTAGATCTTGAACTCCTAGTGGTCAAGTGAGTCTTCATGGTCGAGTGTCTTCAGGTTCATCGAGTGTCTTCTAGACGGTCGAGTGGAATCCCTCTTGGTCAACTAAAAGACGGCTTCTTCTAAGAGATGTCCTTAGGGAGGGTACCTTGGACAGGTCCGTAACCCTACCCTAGGTACATGACTTCATCAGTAGCCCCCGAATGGATTGAGGTTTGAGTGAGGACGGAGTTGGCAGTCTTTCCGACCTTCTTTCTGGTACTGTAAAGGCGTTTTTGCTCAGGATCAATAACTTTTAAGTGAAGGTGTCAACTTTCTTCAGTCGCCTTGATCCATTCTTTATATCTGTCGAGTGAACTGTATGAACTTGGAGATTTCCGAGCTACGGATCGCAGGAGATCTTCCGTCTGACAAGTTGCCCTGTTGGTTAGCGGATTTAGTGGGATCCAAATTTTGGGAAGCGCGTGAAGCGGAGAATGCCGCGGTACTCGGACGGGATAAGGCAGGGACGCCTCGATCTCCGCGCCGCCTTTTTCGCCACGTATCGCGTGCGCGACTGTTTCGGAATTTGACAGGATTGCCTGGGCCTACCCGTCAGCCACTCGGAAGTGACCTCATATAAGGAACCAGGCGGAGGTTTTCTGAACAGTGCCTCCTCATTTTCTCCTCCCTCGTCTATAGATTCATCTGCTGTGCTCTGCCCAGCGCTGCTGCTCCATTCGGGCTTCGTTGGCGGCAATGGTGAAGGAGAAGACGGCGGCTTTGGAGCGGGCGAAGAAGGCGACGGCGCAAGCGAAGGGGAGAGCGCCCAGTCGGGGTGGATCCTCTTCGCGGTCTCGCCTATCGCAGGGTTGGATTCAAGGGGATTGGATCTGCTCGACCATCACCCAGAAGGACCTCGATGACCTAGCCAATGAGGGGCTGATCGAGCACGGAGCAGCGGGGCTTCTGGGACGGAGTGTCAACCGCAACCTCAGGAGGGTGAGTGCTTCCTCTTGGCGACTCATGTAGATTGAGGGTTTTCTCTGCCGCCGCATCTTTTCTTCCGAGGATTTTTGAATTTCTTCGGAGCTCAGCTCCACCACTTTACTCCAAATTCCATCGCCTATCTCTCTGCCTTTCTATCTTTGTGTGAGAATTTCCTGGGTTGCCGGCAACATTGGGGCCTCTTCAAACATATATTCACTTGTCGTTCCTAGACGGTGAAAAAGGCCAGCCCCAATGATGAGAGAACCCAGGTGATCCAGATGTGTGGGGGTCTCGGGGTCCAGATGAGGAGTAAGAGTGCTTTCCCTACTATGACCCTTCCTGAGTCGGTCAAAGGGTGGCAGTCGACCTGGTTCTACTGCCAAGACCGGTCGACGCCAGGGCAGTCGACCGGGCTCCATCCTTTCTCTATGAGTCGAGTGAGCAAGCCCTCCTCTCTGAAAGTAGTTTTGGAGGAGAAGGCTTAGGTGAAAATGTTGATGGAGCGAGTAGTTCAGTTGATTCGTGACGGCGTGACCTGCTTGGACCTTCTAGAGGTTTTCCTTCAGCGGCGCATCCAACCACTCCAGTACCGGGGCCACCCGATGTGGCTGTATTCTGGTACTGAGGACACCAGTCGGGTCCACTCAGAGGAGGTCGACGATGCTACATTGGAGAGGTGGATGACTGCCATCACGGGGAACAAGGACAACCCTCGTGGAGCTAGGAGGATCGTTCCACTCGACCAATCTTATGAGGTGGATAAGGTACGACTATTTTCCTCCGACTGCTCCTTCTATTCTGTTTCGTCGTAAATCAGTCGATTAACCTTTGTCTTGCTTGCTGTCTTTCAGGAAACCACTGAGTTGTACTCGATGCCCAACGGGGCGCACGCACAGGCCGAAGAGGAGGAAGGAAGTGGAGGCGAAAGCCAAGAGGAGTGGGAGTCGGACGCCGATGATGGTGAGGAAGACGCAGGTTCTGACGAAGAGGAAGAGGAGGAGGAAGTTGCGCCTCCTCGTTCCGAAAGGAGGTCCAAGCTCGCCCACGACCCTGCGGCTGATCATGGAAAGGGAGTCGCACCTGCTGGGCAGTCGACTAAACGTCCTCGGACAACTTCACCGGCGCCGACTGAAAAGGCGTCGAAGCAACCCCGGGCGGCCCCGTCAAAACCGGCGAAAGCCCTACCGAAGATGAGGATGGAGATTCCGACTGTCTCTGGGTAACAGTCATAATCCATGTTTTCCATTCTTGGTTGATTCAATCGCTGACCGACTGATATTTGCAAATCGCAGTGCTGCTACTTCCGAGACTTCAGCCAGGCATGAGGATCAATAAATGGAAGATGCTGCGACTTCTCAGCCTGGTATGATTTGCGCGGTTTCGCTTTCAGTCGATTGAATCTTTATTTTTGATTTTGAACTTTTTCTGTAGCTCCGCCTAGCGTTGTCATCAATCTTCCTGACGATGATGACGAAGCGCCGCTGAGGCAGAGGAGGAGCAGGAAGGCGACTGTTGGCAAGGCTGCGCAGGTTACGTCAGCACCTGGACCACAGATTCCCGAGGGGAGCAA